TTGAAGGAACTCGTGCTCCCTGACGGATTCTACCAGTACTACAGGAGGTCAGTCACATCTCTGACTATGAAGCTGTTTTACGAGATCGAATATATATATATATATATATATATATATATATATATATATATATGTCGGGTATAATTGAGGACCAGAGAGCAGTGGACTAAGAACAGTCTCACGTAAATCAAATAATTCTCCATAGATTCCTTTCCGCTGTTATATATAGTATTGATTTTATTTTTTATAGTTGTCGCTTGGCTAATCCAATTGATTCATGAGAAATGTAAATCAACAATTTTTTCTAATCAGCATACTGATGATCAAAATAACATTAGTAGTACACAAGATATGTATATTCAACGTTTACAATCTTGTTTGATTTATATGGATTTATGGAATAAAGGTTATTATATTAGTACATCCACTGTAAAAATGGGTGGTGATCTCCTGGTTTATCAAGGTGAGTAGTAAATTCTAGTTATTGATTCTGTTTCTTTTAGCGATTTGCCTTTTGTATTCATCCCATTTTTTTCTTTTTCTTGTATGAAACACAAATGTACCATAAAAGTCCTCTCATTAATTACGTTAATATAGTATGAAATATCGTCAGTTTATTTTTGCCGTGCTGTAAATATATGATGTAATAGTGTTGTAATTATTAATTTTTCATAAGTTCAATATCATAACTTTTCACTGGTGGGTTATTTGCCGTACTTTATAATGTTTATTGTGATCACTTCTGTATAGCTTTTATTTGCATCAAATAATAATGTATTATTGCACTATTGTTGTGTGTGCTGCTAATGTCGATAAATATAAGTAGCATGTATCATCAATAGGAAGTGAAATGTCTGGTGGCAGAAGGTTAAGAAGAATTGATTGGTGTGTAAATGAAAGAACAATAAACTCTGAGACGATTGATTGATATTTTGCAAATGAAGTATTTACTGTATGGTTTTCAAATTTTATTAAGATATTATGTAGTTTTGTGTTCAAAGAGATTTGATTGTCCCCACTTGTGTTCTCGTTCACTACAGTATAATTCAGATTACAACTTCACGAAATGTACACATATTTTTTTCTTGATTCTTATCGATAATATTATAAAAGTTGTTTTCCTCATTTTCATAAATAAATCGTTAAATTTGCTTTAATTATGTGAATGAAATAAGTCAGAAGTGAAGTGAATATTCATCTGTCGTAAGGCAATAGATGGCATCAAACAATACATTCATCAGTATATCTCATCTTTCTGAGTTATTGTACTCTCTAGTAATTAGTTTCAAAATGGATTTCTCAGAGTTTTGATAAGAAAATTGTAAAATAACTTATGTTGCAGTGTGGTAATTGTTAGGACAGCTTTCGAGAACCACTATGGAGCCTCTAAAGGCCCCAAAGGATCTGAAGAATTTTCAATCAATCAGAACCTGATGGGGCTTTCTAGAATATCAACGTTGCATGCTACGATTGAACAGAAGCCTAATTTGCCTTCTTTAGGATTGGCTGCATTTTAAAGATGTCATAGCCAACACTAATAACTATAAATATCCATGCGTTTCTGAAAATTTTCGATTCTTACCCAATAATCACTTCTCCTGCTTCGTCTGTCTTCTGGTTTTCATCTGAGTGTCGTTATTTTTATATCCTATTCTGCGTTAATCGTAATCAGTATGAATTTTATGTTTATCTTCTGTATATTAAATAAGCAATCAATTTGCCACAGAGAACTTATTGGTCGTCCTCCATCTCCTAATAAGGACATTACAAAGACAGCCGAGTACTTTATATCATTATTAGACTTTGGACTGCATGATTATACACATACCGTATACATCCTTAAGGTTTCACATATAATAAATCACATTCTGTACATAATTTGGACCTTTTTGGCACGGACTTTGATAATAATTTCTGGACGGAGAAAAATCTGACAATGGTGAATAAGTCGAACGGCCGCTTTAATTTAGGACAATATCACAGATGAGTTGTTTGATAAATACACACCAATAATTTTCATACTAATTCACGGTAGGATAATTTTCAAAGTTTCTCTATTTTCATTTATTTGCCCACTTATAACAGCGATAACTCACCACTGATATCAGAAAATGACACACTTTATCACTACTTGATCAAATTCATTAAAAAAAGAGAAATTATTGTCCCTGTACTGCATTCCATTTGTGGAGTCATTGGTGTACATAAATAAATGGTAGTCCTAAAAGAAGACGAAAGCAATTGTCCAACACCATTTGGTTTCAAACAGTTTTGTAACCTTCATTTACTCTATCAACATAGTCAAATTATCATAAATATTCACTACCTTTCTAAGTTTAATCCTCAGGTAATAAAAAGCTAATTTACATGTAAATTGATTAGTACATTATGAATTAATGTGAATATTATATACTTATATCACAAGTGTGTTCATCTAAATGCATGGACAGTATAAATTAAACTGTTCGATTTAATAATCATATTATGGTCTTTATTAAATAAAATAAAACTTCAAGAGTATTTCAAGCTATATATGTTTTTATTATTATACTCGAAGAGTATGTTCTACTTTACAGTTTTTTTCTTTTACATTCTGTTTCTTAGGTGATCCACTTTTGTATCATGGTAGTCATATTATTACAATTTGTAATTCAACAGATCCATTTTGCAATTCACAATTATTAGCTAAACTACGTATTGCAAATGGTTTGAAAAAAATACTTGTTCTAGCTGCAGTTAGTAATATTGAAATATTTACTAGGAAATTTACAGTTCAAAGAATAAAACATTGTGAAATTAAGAATGATAATGACGATGATGGTAGTGTTGTAGATCTCCGAGTTATTGTTGGTGAACATTTGAAATTATCTGTACAATCAAAAGAAATTACGTCCAATGAAGGTACCTATAGTAATTGTAATAGTAGCACTAATGAAATACAACCTAATGTAATTTACTTATCCCTTCAGTATATGTCTTCACATTCTAGTAATCCAACATTTTCAAAATCATTATGATGTATAATAAAAATTGTTTTTCCCTTTCTTTCTATTGTTCAGTATATTTTTTGTAAATGAGAACGATTAAACAAAGACAAATACATATTTTCGTGAAATTTCTTTTCCTTTTAATTTGTTTTCTTTTGTGTCATGTTTGCATGATATTTTAGTTTGTGCTCCATGTATTTAAAATATTTAGTTGAATAATCTCAAAAACTCACATTCAGAAAATTATATCTATCTGCATTGTGATTTTATTTCGATGTTACTTATTTACCAAGTTCTTGTTGATGTATTCGGCTTTTAATGCTACATTTTGTGGAAGTTAATGGTCCTACTTGCTGATGGTCCAAACCGGAGTAGATGAAATGGATCTACCAGTTGAAGACTGAGTGCTGCAACCGCTAAACTACCACTTCAATATGTGGTAATTACAATCGTTCATAAAATATGTTTGATATAGGATGATTAGCTATATCGAAAACCAATAACATACTTCCTATTCACAAGCTGTTAATGATCGATCACAAATGTGTCAGAAATAGCTCACGTATTTCGGGACCACCAAGTGAGTAGTCCTGAGGTTGGGATCTGGTTATAGTTCCAAATAAACATGATAATTGTTCTGATGAAATTGTGAAATTTTATCGACTGACTTTAGGGAAATATATGTTGTGCATACCTGGCCAAAAGCTATTCTGACTTGCTGTTCTGGTGAGTATATGTTTGGTTTAGAAGAATGCTAGAATGGGACATCATCACACCAAATCAATAACTACAGAACTGATCCTTGTTGGAAACTATAAGTTCATTATAGCCAAAACCTGTTGTTGAATACATTGGATGACCTATCTCAGTTATATATATATATATATATATATATATATATATATATATATATATATATATATATATATATATATATATATATATATATATATATGACTACTAGTAATAAGGAAGTCAACTAACCGAGTCAGTTCATGAAGTCATTGACTATTGGTTTGACTCATATGAAGAGGTACTGACCACAAACCTAGTTGTTCTGTAAGATAATTGTGACCAACTTCGAACACATTGAGTGAGACGGTATTAGTTAATTAAAATGGCGCAGATTCATCCTGTATTATCCCGTTTTTCCATATTCTCTACACGTACTCTTCTTTAATATCCTGTATAATACTACTATTCGAAATTGTTTGCTGTTCACTCGGATTTTTCTATTTGTACTCGTATAGTACAACAACTTGAGTGGATACATCTTTAAACCAGGTCCTACGTCGATTATGACTAGCTGATATTTCTGGTGATAAATTTTTGTCACATTGAACATATTACTTTATTATTCAACCTCAACCAAGTACAAAAAATTGTAACCATCCGGCAAAAAATATAGCTTAGATAACATGCACGTTTAAAATACTGAGAAAACAGATAACAGATGTTATACTTTAAGTGTTGTGTAGCTAGTTGAGTTTACGCGCAAGTCAATTAATTCCCATTAATCTAGTTAGTTAATGTATGTATTAAGCTAGTTATGTGGTTACTCTCACCCTCATGTTTTATAATTTCCGGAAGGCTAATAAAATAGAATTAATTAAGTCACAAACAGTATGAAACGCACGTCTTGAATTCTACTGCTGGCCACCATCTTACTCTGCTTAAAATGAATTGATTTTAGTTGCAAATGTAAATCTTAGAACCTATCTCATTGATCACTCACTCGCTGAAACGTTTGAGGGTTTTATTTTTGGTCTCTGTTAGGCTTGTGAGTATCACCTGTTGATTATGATAATCTCAATCTAATACATGACGTTTGACTGTCACTTCCTGGTTTTCAATGGTATCACGATTGATGTTAATCTGTTGTAAAAGCTGTCTTGCGAATCCTTTCCTAACTATCATTTAATGTTATTTCACTCAAACTATGGAATATGTTATGAAATTAATAAATTTTCTTATGTCTGTAAATAGTTTAGGCATATTTATTTTTATTCTCTAGGTTTTACGTCCTTTTGATCAAATGAAAATACTTTCTTATCACTAGTTTGAAAAAAATGGATGAACAAGAAGAAACTTGGTATGTGGATGACTATGAAGAAGAAGAACTACTAGAGGAGGTAGACGAAGAAAAAGGAGACAATGATCTGTCGGAAAATTATTTAGATGATCTAGAAACTATTGAAGAGGTTGATGATTATGAAGATGTTTTATTCGAGAATGCATTATCTATAAAGTCTTTATCGTCAGAAATATTATCATGTACTATACCAGTTTTAAAACAAGCCCATTGGTTACTGATTTTGATACTTGTTTCATGTCTTTTATGGCGTATCGTACAATTTTTACTGAACAGATGTTTGCCTTCAAATGGTATGTGTGATTTATATATTTATTTATAATAAAGTTGCAAATTCAGCTTTTAGTGTCTCGAGATCTGACTCCAGTTCGATCGTATGATTGTCGTTATCGACTTATATATGTTACCAATCCTCGCATATAATAATCGACTTAAACCGCGTTAGTGAATAACGGAACTAAACAATTCCAATACGAGAATGGATTATGAATACGTATATTTCGTACAATCGTTGGTCGAAAAGAGAAGCAAAACAATATTACGCACGTTGGTGAAAGCGAGTGAACCAACTCGATTTAATCAAGAGTGACTCGATATTTATAGTCAGACAAAAATAAGTTACAGAAATGTGATGAGTAAGATAAGAAATGCACACACATCCGCTTACATAAAAACATTCAAGGTTGACAAGCGAATAATTGACAAGGTCGAAATGTGACTCAAAAGAATAAATAAACTGGTCTATCAGTTTATGCTGATGATGTCGTTCAGAAGAACGATCAAAGCCTCATGACCGAACCATCCAGCTCAGAGAACAAAACTACACCGAAAGCTAGAATTAGCTGTGTAGGCTTAACATAGCAACCGACACTGCAAGCTTAATGACTCAGTATGTATTATTATGATTAGCATTTTAAAAAATTTTTTCAAGAATTTCATACAACATAGTCATTTAAAAAATCTTAAGTAGGCTACAAATAACAAGATCGAGTAAAATAAATAAATTTTAAGGTTTCTCATTCAGTTTCAAGCAGTTTAACGTTATCAAAAGTTATGTGATCAAAGCCAAATATTTGCTGTAATTTAACTAGTGAGGTTGAAACATGTATTAAGCATGTAATCAAAAGTCACAATATGTGGAAGTAGACAAAACATATAACAGCAAACTTAACTAAGATTGATATTTGCCTATAATGTTGATACAAACCAATAAAAATGATAGTGGAATATCTTATTATTATTACTACCACTTTTGAGCCATATCGCCCAACTTTTTCAACCAATGATCATAGTTATCATTGTTGATAACTTTGTATTTTTTGTACATTATTGTGTGTTTTTTTGAATAGGGAAAATTTGCCGCACATTTGTCACAATAATCCTTCATATATTTTCCATTTGTCTTGGTAAGTACCTCTTTTATCGATCCTATTGAGAGTTTACATTTAAACGTCACATACTTTAAATAATCTTAAAGTTATTAGTTATTGTTATTTTGAAAATGTTTACGTTTTCTATACTTTCTGACCATTTCTTCTCAGTTAACTATCAGATGTTATGTAATATTTTACATCCTCTTATGTATTATATCATTTATCCATGTTATTATATATTAGTCTAAAACAGTGCTCAACTAAGCAAAAAATACAGTATATAACAGTGTACTTTATGTCACAGTCGTCTGTTCCAAGTTCAGAACTTTCCAGCAACTCACACTAAGTAAGGTTTGTATTGAATAATGAAAACCACTTAATAAACTTATCTCACTCTCCTTATTTTTGTCCGAATTGGAACTTTAAAAAAAACTGTGAACTAGTCTAAAAGTTAACGATCGGAGTATGGTCAGAGCTCGTAAAGCACTTAGATCTTACAGTTCAACCAGTTGATTCAAGGGTTAATAACTTGGAGGTCATTTGTTAGAATCTTTTTGTCTTACAGGTTTTCTGTCAATTTCTAGCTTATTTTAATCACTTTAATTATCAGTTGTAAGTAGAGCTTTTGGTTACAGTTTTCCAATAATTAGTTTTATTTTATTTTAAAACAAAACTCTTCTTACTTTATGTTCATCATTATGTCATTCCTTTTTTGAAAAAATTCCATAAATCACTCAGTCATATTATTAGACAATGATATATAACTTGTATACTTCATGTCGGAGCGGTAGCCTAATAATGAAGAAAGTATGAATTGAAACCCAGCTTTACTTTCTACAATCAAGGCAATCAACATATTAAATCATACGAAGCTAAAACCGATGTTTGACAAACATTTACGTTATAAATGAATTACATTACAAATAAACTATCTATAACTCATTTGTTAATAATAAATAATATCTACTCTTAAAACTGTTGATAATTTCTAAAAGATATTGTAGGTAATCCTTTTGACCAATTTGAATGATCCGATCAGAAAACGAAAGTTGATAAAACCATATGATATTACCGCATTTCTAATTGAACAATTTCATTACATACTAACTTTGCAATACATTTATACATGAGAGATAAATATCATACTAGACAAATTACAGCATAAAACGTAAATTATAAGGAAAAAAATAGTGTAAACTATACCACTCTATGTATTAAAACAGTATTATCAGAGTAGATCTAGTGTATGTATAGATTATGTTTAAACAAACAAGAGGATAACTTGAACTTTCGTTTGGCTAAGGTTTCATGGAACCTAAATATTCTCCCTAAGTAACTGATATGCATAACCGAACAAGTTGAATTAAGATCATTTGTATAACCTGCTTCAACTATGTGTTCCACGATGAATATATATTTATAAACACAAAGACATGTGATGCGATCGTGTACATGCATCTAATAAACTTCGTCTTCTCATTTGATTATTTAAATTTATCTAATTTTTGGTGATAGAATGCCGAATAATGTCAGAGTTGACATAAGAGTTTTATTTTATTTCCTTTGAATAGGTTTGTTCGTCCTATATTATGCTTCATATGATCTGTGGTGGATTGTTATTGGCCTTATAATTACCTTAACACTATTATTTACCTTAAATATTAACTCGGATATTGCTGATTCACATGGGAAATATACTAATTGGGAATTATTTGTAACAATTGGAATTTGTTCATCTGTTCAATTATACTGGTAATTAATTAAAATTGTCGCTTGTTTATTCCTCTATCTTTATGATAATTGATATGCTACGTTTGATTATTGAATTTGACTGTCTTTGTAGTTTGTGACTAAATTTTTCCCAATATTACATTCGTTATCATTGATGCTTTTTCGAAAGGATAGTGATTACTGTAGGAGATTTGTGTAGACTTCCGAATTTTGTAGTTTACATCGTATATTGATCTTATTTAATCAACCATTCAAATATCAGGAAAAAACTGGAGAACGGTTCCGTCCTTGTATGGGACTCCTCAACAGTGTGCATCTGAGACCCCATCGGGGATCAAACTCCGGACCTTCAGGTCTGGAAACATCTAAGCATATAATATAGTACTTATGGATAAGATTCAAGCTGATTGATTGTTCCTTCTAAATATGGCAATTTGTACAAGTTATGGTGAACTAATTTAAGCGCTTTGAACACTAAATTTTTAAAGTTCGAAACCCTCATTTAAAGAGATGATAAGTACAATTCTTCAATTTTCGAATTCCAACCACTTCGTAGGGGAGAAGAAAACCAGAAAATTTGAAGTCAGCGTCTAAACTTCCAGTCTCCAAAAACAGGGAGGTGTTATGACGGGGTGAAAGATCAAAATCAGAATTGATCTACTCATTATGATTTTTATTTAACATTAATTCCGTTTAATGCAATTTGTTGATCATTCAGTTTAGTATTTCTCCTGTTTGCAGACTAGGTAAACTCGTAATCGCTTCAAACATAGCAATTTGATTGATTATATCTGTTACCAGTTAATGTAGCAAATATGTAATTCCCATTTTTACATTTGATAAATAAAGAAGGAACGAATTGAGCGAAGAAATTTCTTTTCAATTAGTTTTTCATCATGGCTCTAATATATATATATATATATATATATATATATATATATATATATATATATATATATATATATATATATATATATATATTGAACCCTCCAAGTCTCAAGTTAGAAGACAGAAGACGAGTGAAAAGGTATCTTTATCCAACTGGCATCAAATATGATACAAAACATTCGGGTATTTATAGTTTTTAGTAAAAACGAAACCATCATAACAATCATCCAATCCACAGGCAGTGCTGTTTAGCATTTGTCCAATCGTGAAGCTACACTCCAAGATTCTGGGATGTGAGTCGTCGGCTTTTTCAGAGCTTCCTTGAGTCCACATAGTTACTCTAAACTAAGTAGATTATTATGGAACCGTCTAATCGCTCTTTGCGAGTCTTTAATATTGTTCACCATTACATCAATTAATAGTTCGAGTCGGTATATTATTGCTTACATTATTGACTGTAGTCAATTTCCAGTATCAATCTTCACTCCACAGAGCATATGATTTTACACTTTCTGTGTTACCTAAATACATTCGTGGCTCCGATTCTTAGTGTGATTTTAAATGGTCACTGTTTAAGAGTCTGGAGATATTAGGTCCCTTTTGGTTATCAAAGATTCTTCACCTCATATCATCCCATAAATGAAAAGATTTTTTATCTTAAATATCTCAACGCAATTACATCTGTATATGCTTGTTACATTCCTTTACATTTAACCTATGTGTTATGTTCTATGTAATGTGAATTCATTATTTACGTTATCACATAATTCGTCTACTGTTTTCTATTGAATGTCAAGAGTAGATATTACTGAAGAATGCCAGCCAGTATGAAACCTAAGTTTAAAGTTTCCTGTTGATTCCATTCAACCACTTAATTTCAATACTGTGCATGCGTCATCGAGTTACCTGCAATAAAAGGACACTATGCAACTTGATCGACTCAAGTCAATCAGCACTACGAAACAGACTAGCATAACATTAGTTACTACTCAGTAGCGATCGATCGATATGAATATTTAAATATTATAGGATATCAACCCAAGCTCAAATAACTCAGTGGTAATGTCTTAGATTCAGTAACTGATTGATTTGAGATTATTTCCTACTGAGGGGAGCATCAGTTTTTTTCAGAATTTCAGGGACCAAATTGAGTAAAATCTAGGTCCATTGGATTTTCTACTAACTACCTTCAACTACTTACCGTCAAGTTAATTGTACCTCAAGTTTTGTTCACCTCATGTCTTTCAATTAAGAATAAAATTAATGACATTATCAAGAGTATAGATTACAGTTAAATGTATTTTGATTTTCATTTCTTAGAGATTTTGTTTTTAACAAAACAAAAATCAATTTTTCCTTGATCATTTGGTTTCATTATTCATCTCTTCCGGCCCGTCTTCTTAACCACGTTTATATATTTTTTTATTTAGCGAGTTTTACAAAAATCCTGTTAAATGGCATCAAATTCGTGGTATGTTATCTAATTTCATATTGACTTGATGAATTCTGTTACTGTTTTTATTATCAGTTAATGCTTGATCAGATGTCCATAGCATTTTGTTGATTGTATTACATTCTATAGACCAGACTATTCAACTGTAAATCTTTTGTTATTAATCTGGTCAACATGATCAGTGGCTGTTTTACATTCAAATGAACATAAGCAGTACCAGGTCATTGTGTTTATTATGACTATTATTTGTTAAACCTCTTAAAAGCTTGTTATTTGTATGCTCGTTTGTATTACTCTTGACTGTGATTTTGATAGGTTAACCTCTAACTTTTCAGTTCAGATTGGCACCATCCTCATTGAATACCAGATTAAATTTATTTTGGTGTATTTTTGACTGTAAATATACCTGAGTGTCGGACCTGTCCCTAGTTGTCTACTTACATTTACATAGTTGTTTTTACTAAGCTGAAAGGTAGGTGTGCGCACTCTGTCCAATGTAGCCCTTCCCTTTGTTGACGTAATTTATCCAGTAAATTATGTTTCACTTGTCTTATTTAGCCATCCCTTCTTTTCGATCAGCATAAAATTAAATCAAGTGGTTATATTGCTTTGTGAACATCATTAATTCTCAAAACCTTAGTAATACTGGCATTGATTGTTTTAAAAAGTTTTCTAACAGATACCATATGTTTAGTCGTTTTCAAGTTTTTGTGAATGATTTTGATAGAAATACATGATGATAGCAATTGTATTTCAGGATACAAAAAGAATATCGTTTTCTTCCATTTCAGTAAAGTAAAAGTACTAGAAATGACTATTGTTCCTTTACAATTACGTCTCTTTAAATTTTTCTGTTAGATTGTCATTGTCTGACTTAACCTCATGTATATTTTTTTCATTCTAAACATTTCTATATAACATCGTCGGATTCCGGCTCAGTGGTCTGGAGGTCAAGCGTTCACGCGCAAGACCGAAAGTACTGGGTTCGAGTCCTACGCGTAGGATTGTGGATGCGCACTGCTGAGGAGTCCCATAATAGGACGAAACGGTAGTCCAATGCCTCCATGTTTTCGATTGTGATCCAACATTGACCCGTTCATTATATTAATTTAAATTCCTATATGAGTTTTGTAAAACAAAATCTCCAAGAATGGAATGTTATTGTTTGATATTTCTTTAAAATCTCAACTTTTGTTTTAACGTAGTTGCTGATAATTTCTGAAATGACTATTCTACCTTTAGAATGTAATTACTCAGCACAGCGATTGCAGCGTTATTATCCATATCCTTCCTGATTTAATTCTCTCTCCATTGTCATGGTAATGCTCAATTAGAATTTAAAGAAATTTTTATTTTTTCATTGAAATTTCTTTGAGTGAATGTAAGATAGGAATACACAAAAATAGACAAAACTGAAGTGTTATGGCTAAGTAAAATCAATATCCGGAGGTCATAAGTGAAGTAGTTCAATAGTGATGAACGTGTTAGAAAAATCAATTTCTTTATAGTAAATAAATAATTGAAGCTTTTGATTGTATTTATGTATTCATTCATCGTTAGTTTATCCAAGTCAGTTTTTTCCCAATATATTGCTTCAAAATTTGATTGTTTGAACTAATGTTATGTTATATTTGATTTTGGACTTATTTCTATAAAATGTGGAGTATATTTCAATGCTCTTATCGTATTTTTTTCAAAATATCAAGTTCATGGAATGGCTGTTTTACCGTATGCGGTGTGTAAATTCATCATGGACCATCAGGTCTCACTGTTGACATATCAACATTTAGTTTAAATTTAATAATTTCTACGCTTCCAACTTCAATTAATTCTCGGCATAGCTCGCCCATCATCATACATTCTCAGCATTTTTGAATTTTATTGGTCACAGCTTCTCACCAGAATTCTACGAATTTATCTCGTCATTAATCATAAATAAGCCCATATTCATCATTAATATGGAGATCTATGAAGATTATTCATATTTTCGTCAAGATATCTAAGTTTTTACCTCTTTAAAAATTTTAAACAAGAATAATTTCTGTTTTACCAAACATTGTATTTAAAAATATCATATAACTTAATTTGTTGTTACATTCAGATCTAATGATACTTTATATATGTCTCTTATTCATTTACTACTAATTTTTTATACTACTTTCTTGTGGCTTTTTGGTTTATAGGCAGTATAATGATAATTATTATGAAATGTATATCTTTTTCTATGGAAAATAAAAATTTTTATAAAACGATCAATAAAGAGCCTTGCTGCATACTACTGTGGACACCATTATATCGTGGATTACTTTGGTTGTCTTATTGTCTATGTCCAGCTAGTTTATTGTTTGGTCCATGGTTTAATCCATTAAGATATGAAGAAATGATTAGAAACTATGCTGTTAATGATAGATCTTTTTCTTTAAAATATGTAAGTTGAAAACAATTGAATATCAAGATAATTGGGCCTTGAATGTGACCGATCGTTACGTTGTGAAATGTGTAGATTTAAGACTTGTTGAAATACTTTGTGCTTCAATCTATTAACTTTAGTACATAGTCGTTCATAGTTAAAGTACATCAGTAATTAAAGAGAGATTTCTGAATTGAATTTAAATTTTTTATTTTCGAGTGTGGTGTGAAAACACAATGATTGTTATTTTTTAGCACTAAATATGTCTCTATTTGTAATGAATTTGTTGATTCCTTTTTTTTAAATATGTTTAACTAATAATATTGTTCGGTTTATACATTTCTATTTGATATTGCAGTAAATATGATGTGAACTGTTTAGTTAAACTTATATTTTATAAATTTGTGTTAAAAGTAAGATACGTGTATACATTCAGAATTAGATCGTTTCTGGAGATAATTCTCATTTAGAACCAATATTAGTTGGAAAAACCATAGAGAGATAACTAGCCATTTCATCTTAGCTTTGAAGATTTCTTAACTAGTAACTACTAAATAAAAAGAAATACATAACAGACCAGTTTATAGTCAGTTAGTGATAATCAACTTACAACCTGGGATATATATGTGGCCATCCAAGTTACCATACAACATTAACGGGCGAAAATGAATAATAAGAGTTCTAAATAATTTATTTTAATGAAGAAGACCAAGCATTAAGAATAGGGTTCTAAAAGACAATGGAAAAGCATATACGAAGGAATATTTGAACTCATTATCTAGAGGATAAAGAATAAATACATCTGCTCTATTGTAACCGATTCTGAGCAATGTCACTCAACGTCTTCAACCACTGATCTCAGCTAACATGCGGATCTCAACCAGGCAGTTTGAACCTATGGAAATTTCTCAGGCCAATAGTTAGTGGCTTCATGTATTTATGCCACGTTTTTGGATTAGCCGCTCCTTGCTTTCTTTGATATCATTCTGTAAGGAAGTAAATATTCATTGCGTAAGCTTAGTAGTGATTCCGTGTTCTCAGTATTAATTAAAATTAAAGTGAATCCTTAAAAATTCTAATGTGAAACAGTAATTAATTAAGTTACTTGGTTACATAATTAAAATTAAGTATCGTCGTTAGGAATTATATAAATCATCTCAGCATATCATAAACTAACTTGCGTTAAAAATGTGAACTGTTAAATTTCAAACTCGAGAGCTTAAACTAGTCACGGTCACGTTAAATATTTGTAAGTAGTTGACGATCCACCCGTATTAATTGGTATTCGTCAACAAAACTTATCTTCAATCCTACAACACACTCATCCTTCACGACTTCAGTGTGCTTGATTCAACCCACTCTTTGATGTATGTATAGTTGTGAATCAAGAGTGTAGAAAAGTATCAATACTCTTTGGTTTTCGGTGACTCTTTAATCGAAACATCAGTTCGTGCTGAAATCTCGTTATCTTAATTATTTTATTCACTAACTTTTATATTTTATCATAAGATATAATTCTTACATATCTAAGGTTGTGATGCTGCTAATTGCTAAGAAAATATAACAATATTTAACTTGATTTGTAACATATAAAAAAATAGATTTTTCTAAACCTTTTGTTCGACTAACAATGGTGTACGGTGGCGCAATCTCGTGGATTGGTTGAAGTTAGACATTAACATCGTTGAATGCCAGCTCAGTGGTCTGATGGTTAAGCGCTCACGCGCGAGGCTGATATGTCCTGGCTTCGAATCTCGCGGAGGGCGAGATCATAGATGCACACTGCTGAGGAGTCCCATACTAGGACGAAACAGCCGTTCAGTGCTTCTAGGTTTTCCATGGTGGTCTAGATTCTATTGACTCATGATTTCAACTAGTGGAATAACAATACATTCATCAAAATATGATTATTTTCGTTTATGTAACTTTAGGTCACAAAGCATGACACTTAAACACCTTTTTTATGTTACTATTCTACAAAGTAACATTGAAAATTCTGTGCTTACGAAAGAAAAATAACACTTAAGATTCAATACTACTTGAAATACAAAACATTTTGATTATAATCCTTGTTTGATTTGTGCATATAAAACATGATCTATTTCAAGTTTTCCTTTTAAAATATTCGTTGTTGTTCTTATTGTTATTGTTTTCTTTTTCTGACAGACTATGATTTCACTTTTTCAGACAGTTAAATTATTTGGGCTATCTTTGTTATATTTAACTTATTCAACTTGTTTCACTCATACACTAGCTATGATATTGAAATTTCAACCGTAAGTTTATGATTTCTAATCTTTTGGGTGTGAATTTTTTTTAAAAAAATAAGGTCAATACACAGATATGGTTGTACCGTGTATTCGGTTTTTTCCAATAAGTGTTCTAATTGTTAGACTAATGAACTCGTAAGTATTTGGTAGTGGTTTCGAACCCAACCCTCGCCTTTAAGCATAAGGATAGCATAACTACTCATCCTCACATTAAAGTGTAAATTATCACTGACTTAGCTTTAGATTGCTACGTTTGAATCAGTAATATGGATACTGCTACTAAACGTTACTAGCTTATACAAAATACCTGTCCTAAAGACCAAATTAGAACTCGAGAGTAACAGCTAATGTAACCCGTATATCTCTGACTGAGAAACTCACATGAATTACAGGACCATGATGCATCATAAACAAGAGATTGTAACATGTACCTAACTTGGACACTTACGACAAAAAACCGTGATAATGATGTTAATTTGGGAACAAAAAAAGATTTAACAACAGTTAGTAGGACAAATGGAAGCATACGAATAGGAACACATAAAAATCACTCAATTAAAGCCCTTAATAACCACATTTTAGAAATAAAAATGCTAATCTACCCAGAAAAAATTACTTCTAACGTTTGTCATTTTCATTTATTCATCTCGTTTTTAACAATTACTGATTACTTAAACTGTCAGTGTTTGGTCAGTTATTTACATTTAATGGGAAGTGTTCAGTATTATTATGAATTTCCTTAGGATTGTTTATTCACAAACTAATGTTTGATTAGACTGAAAACTGTAAGTGTTTACTTACCTTCAGGACTTACTGTTATTATTGAAGTTTTGTTTTATTATCAAAATTTCCCTTGTTTTATAATAGAGCCATACTTTGTGCAAATAAAATTGTTCAATAAAATCATACCTTTTTCTTCATTTTTCTTTCCTCTTAGTTGGCTTCATGCTTATTTTGCATCACAAAGTTTCCGTTTCAGTCATTATTTCGTATGTATATCAAGTGAATCTTTCATGACAGCTTTAGGATATTGTGATAAGTATTCAATAAAATCAAACAAACAAGAAAATACTAAAGAGAAGAACAATTCAAAAGATGTATACAAGTAAGTTTAATGTTTGCTTTCTCTAATCGATAATCACTTCATTGATATATTGTTTCTTTGTTTTTAATACTTATCTGGTCTATTAAACTCCTTAAAATTGTGATGAGACAAAAATTTGCATGAAACGTTGAATTATCTCATCTATCGTTATCAGTAATAAATGTATTCATAATCCATATTATTAATATAGTTTTCAAAATAATTAATAAGGTTCTCATTGCTAGAGTTATGAACGTTCTCTAATACTTTTTGGTATCGGTTTGTGAATACTATTTTTAAATAAATACTACATGGAAACTAACTGTTACATAGCTTGTTACTTATTACTGATTTACTTCTCAGCATTGTATCTTTCTTTTTCCCAATTATAAACTATTATCTGTAGATGAAACCGAATTTTGACTCATCAATTATAACACGGTATAAGTATATGACTGAGGTTTTTAAATACCGACCAGTAAGGGGTCGCTTACTAGGTTGTAAAGTTCACTGTTCTATCTCAGAATGCACACTGATAAAAATCTTGAGATTGACATGAAGAAAACGATAAATCTTGCTCAGTTTCTAACTAGTTTAACCGGATATTCAAACTAGTCATGTCTTGAAAATCTTAAACTGAATGTTACTCACTAGTCGATTATACTTCATTTGTATCATCTCTCCTACTTAAAACGGTTAATCATTCACTTCCTGTGTGTAATAAATCTACACTACAACAACATAATAGTTGTTTATTCCTTAAAATTCTATTCAGTAGGTTACATAAACCAACATTTTCCGTCGTGAACGAAATACTAGTCGAATTAAACATGAAATGATCTTTAATTTATACGGTTTTATACAGCTGTTATTATAAAACAATATCTAGTTTTATAAGTACAGGTTCGTTGCATTTTCACTCTTTAATCTTTCTACCAGACCTATTGTGGTAACTCGTCCATTGTTCATTGAACTTCCTCGATCGTTAGTTGAAGTTGTTATTTACTGGAATTTACCAATGCATAGCTGGTTAAAACAATGTAAGACATGATTATTTAGTCTTTTATTTGATAATGTAATATTTTTATTTCAAACTATGGACTAACATGTAATGTTTTGACTAGTGTCTAACAGTGTTCTCCAGGATGCGCATTTTATTGAATCCAAGAACGTATGGTCATTTTTTAAACATAACGTATTACTAGTAAGTTAACTACAACAATAAATCATTTTGGACTAATTGCTACACTCAAATGTCTTATGTATATGCATGTTTACATTTCATACTAAGTGGAAAATACGGACACCTTTAATAGTTTGTAGATAACTTAATGTGTTTAAATTTACCTGTTTCAAACAAAAACAATACTTACTTACGCCTGTTACCCCTTGTGGATGAGCATAGGCCACCCATCAGCATTCTTCATCGAACTCTGTCCTGAGTAGTCCTTTCTAGTTGCTGCTCATCCTTTTGATGTCTGCTTCCGATTCTCGACACAATGTGTTCATTACTCTTCCACTTTACTGTTTCCTTTCAGTATTCCAAGTTAGCACTTACCTCGTGATGCAGTTTGATGATTTCCTTAATGTGTGTCTTATCCACTTCCAGCGTCTTCTTCTAATTCCCTCTTCAGTCGGAATCCGGTTTGTTCTTTCCCACAGTGGGCTGTTGCTGATGGCATCCGGCCAACGGGCATTGAGTATCTTGCATAAACAATTGTTTATAAATACTTGTACCTTTACGATGATGATTGCAGTAGTTCTCCAAGGTTCAGCTCCGTACAGTAGAACTGTCTTAACGTTCGTATTATAAATTCTCACTTTGATGTTAGTTGACAGTTGTTTTGAGTTTCAAATGTTCTTCAACTGTATGAATGGTGCCCTTGTTTTCCTCTTCTTGCCTTAGCATTTGCATCAGATCCTCCACGTTTATCGATGGTACCGCCCAGATACGTGAAAGTCTCCATCTCTTTCAGAGTTTCCCCATCAAGTGTGATTGTGTTGGTGTTCTCCGTGTTTTATTTCAGGATCTAAAACAATCCTTATAGCTAAATAATTGCTTCATTATACAGTTTGTGATATTATGAACCACACATAGCTATTCGTGACTTTTCTCCTATATATATATTCGCCAGTTTTGTCTATTCTTCCATCAATCTTTCACGTAATTTGGCGATCTTTGTCAGTACAAATTATTGTGTCTGCTCTATCCGTTGTCTTGCCAACAAAACTAACTGCTGAATGTAGTTCAGAAAAAAATAATTGAGAATCACTTGTTTCACCGTGTATACAGACAGCATAAAAGACCACTTTTAACCATCAAATTTCTATTAATGCAACAACAAAGTATAGTAAGGGGAAGGTTAGGGAAACATTCTTATGTGAACATCAAAATATGGCATCATTATGTATAATCAATAACTTGTTTTTCGGTTCAATGCTGTTAGACGACAAATGTCAGTAATATGAAATACTAAACAGCTCTATTTTGTCATAATTTGAGATTCCTCAACATTGTACATCAACCATCCCATAGGCAATCCAAGCTATGATTTCCAAGTTTTGCATTGGATGTGATATCTTTGAACTGCTAAACCGAAACCCAGCAATCCATATTTTAAAACTTAAACAATTCTTGTTTTAACAAGAGACTTCTTATCTAATCTCATCATTATCCAAAATGTTAGCTAATCTATTTCAAAATAAAGTTGTTTAGTGAACAATAAGTTTTGTTTATATTGATAATCAAATGTCTTACAATAACTACATTTAACTGAAGGGGTTTTGTAGAGATCGCTTGAATTTGTAGATTATATTCGTCACAGATTTCTCCCAGTTGAGATACCATTAAAAACGAGAGAGCATCGGACTCCTGTTTTGTTGTAGTATGAGAATACTCTGTAGTGCATATCCACGAAACTATTAAGAATCGAACCTAAGAACTTCAAGTCTCAGGACGAATACTTACCAAGTTACCGCACTATTAAGGAGTCCTACATTAGGATGAAATAGCTGTTCAATGCTTAGTAGTTTACTGTGGAACTCCAAATAAGGTATCTTTGGCGAATACATTCTACAGATAACTACGTTTGTTTGAGCTATACCATTTTCTTAAAAATGATTTATTTAATAATCTGAATGCTAGGATTTTTCCTTCTAATTAGATGTATACAAGCCGTTACGTCCATATGGACATGTGTATGCTATATTGGGAACCTATACAGCTAGTTCGTTATTACATGTAAGACGATAAATTTTGCTGTTTTTTGTGTAACTATTTAATAATTCGACCTATTCTTCGGAATGAGAAGTGGAAATCAACTGCTTGATAGGATTTCATTTATAATAAAAGTGTAGTCAAATTTACTATAACAGAATTGCAAAATGTTTATAGGTAGTTATGTCACTTTCTGATAAAAAAGAACTTTAAACTGGGAACTTTCTAAAAAAAGTTGCTTAAAATTTATTGACAGAGAGTTCCCATCTAAACATTAAAAATTAAAAACATGAAGTTCAGAAAAGGGATCTCTTTTCAACGAATTTATTATCAAACTGTACAATCGTATATATATGAAAATTTTTTGTTAAAGTACTAATCCCGTGAGGAAATGTGAACACGAATAACCAAGATGACGTATTAGAGAGATTATAATACTAGATTAGATAATACTAATAATAACAGTAGATTTAGTGAATATTATATGATTAAAGGTCATAGAGGTGTTAAAATAAATAGGGTGACAGGATGAACACTTATGAATAAAATAATGAGAATATAGGACATAAGTAAAGGGGAAGGCAGTGATAATAATAATCAAGACCAAGGTAACGATAACGATAGGACGTACTTCTTTTGTATGCATAGTTCTGGTTTGAGCTCATGGATGGTAAGAGCTTCGGCTATTTTCAGGAGTTGAATACGAAGAAATCTAGGTAAATTTGAACGAATCATATATACAACTTTAAAATCAAACTGTGGATCCGTAGAACGATTACAGTCGATTAGGTGTTCAAGTATAGAACTCCTAACTGCTTTCCTCTCACCCTTGTAGAACCACACTGCGACATGTTCCCGTATTCGAGTTGAAAGCGAGCGCTTGCTACGGCCAATGTACCTTGCTTCACAAGAGCAAGTGAACTGGTAGATGCACATGGAGGCGACCAGATGCGGAAGCTTATTGTAAATATGTTTACTGAGAATACTGTTTTTCGTTTCTGTAATTATCTCTTTTTTGTTTTGTATTTAGTCTTTGTTGTGTTAACATGACGTTTGTTTTTAGTTTATAAATAAATATTCGGTTATTGAAACGTCATCGTGTATAGATAACATTAGCTATTATTCATTGTAAATATTTCAATTTTCTAGGAGGTCAGTCATAGAAGAGATGTTTCTAAGTATAACACTGACTGACTTGACTTCCAAATCACATAACATGAATCGCATGAATTTACTTAATGTTTCAGAAATATAAGTGTCAACTAACTTGAGATTTTATTAAGATGGGATTTCTCATTGATCACTTTCGTTTACCCATTCGGATGTATCATATATATTCTTCATTCATCTGCCCGAGTTTAGGTTAGGTTTTTTCAGCAAAATAGGATAGAATGTGTGGTTTAATTTGATCCTTGCGCAAGTCAGCAAATGTTTCTGTGTATACATGTAATGAATAATTATTGTTCTGTATATTTTAAATTTATATCAATTCAGAGTTTTCAAGAGCTTTCTAGGTATTATCTTTGGCGGAATTGAATCGATTTACACTAGATGCCCTGGTACGACCGATAGTGGAAGAGACCACTTTCCCTCTCGAAATGCTCTCACATGACCACGCGTACACAGGCACTGCCAGAGAAGTCCTACTCACTCTCTTCCCGTGGCGGGGGTGTTGATTACGAAATTTCGAGGACGAAAATTGAATGTCTTGCGCTTTAACCTGGCTAGTGGACACGGAGGGTTCGCCTAGAGGAGTTGGAAATCCTTGATTTCAAACCAATGGTGCACATGGGCTCCAGGATCATAAGGAAAAAAATTGTGTATGAACCAATTATTGGTCATTGGCTACTATGCGACTGCGTCTCCTGAAGTTGCTCCACTGCCTTACGGACCAGACTTATAGGTCGAAGGTTCCGAGTGTGGCTCCCTAAGAAAACCACTTGCTTCGATCTAAGCACCCAGGCAGTATCACAGTCTACACAAAAATCAAGTACTTTGTGTGGCGCATATACGGTGCTCTTTAGTACCAATATTTATGTATTCAAATAAATAAATATAAATATCATAAAACTCAGTCAACTACAGACAAAATTTTCATCTTTATTCTCTAATAGTGCACATAAACGATCCTTACATTTAAACCTGTAAGGCAAATGCATAATATTACTTAACGTAAACTAATGTTAGTAACATTTAATTAAAGTTAATTAAATTTGGAAGTATAGTACAGTATAAAATCTATGATTTGTCTAACTAGAATGTACAACAGATTCTTACTTCATTTAGGATTTCCTTTTATTGTGTATGTTACACCAAACGCTTGTAACGTTGACTCCTTAATCGACTTATAGATATCTACAAACATTTAACTATGACTAAAATCAGGAAGCGTAAATGCTATAGAAAGATTAGTTCATTTACAAAGTCAAAGGTTACTTATATGGTTAAGAATATCCTTTCAGTATTGAAGCACTGTCGAAAAACCCTAAAATTACTGGCCATTTCGGTACTTGAAAGGCTAAATTGTATCGGGCTTTATACATTCCTGGAGAACATTTTAAATACTCTGATTAACCAAAAAATTATTTTTCACTTCTATTCAGCTTTGTGGAAGTTTTTTAGATAACACTTATTGATAACACTTTATAACGGCCATTTTTATAATTCCACCTTTATTTCTAGGGTTTGAATTTTCAACTTAGCGCTGTTTTATTCTCTATTGGAATCTATGCATATATTGAATATGGTAAGTATGTAAGATACACAGCAACAGTGGTAGATTTCATTCATATACTGTAATCATTTGTCACTTTATTACTGGATGATAAAATTATTGAAGTTGGTTAGTTCAACCAAACCAAGTTAATTTTTTGAATGTCAACTAAACAAATCAAACAAACATGATAGATTACACAACAATCATTATCTTTTTACCGTTAAAACAACTGAATAAATATTTGACTTTATTATTTAACCTTCTATTAATATCTGTAGATTTATGAATTCCAAGTTAATGGTTACTTATAGAAGTTTCTTTAATTTTGGTAGAAGGAACAGTCGTTTGTAAATTTCTGATAAGCAGACTTGTTTTTGTTACAGCTAGAGTCCAGTTTCTTTTTTTAAAAAAGACAACTCTCAAAAAGAACTTACATCTATGCAAAAGATTCCTAATTTAACCCATATTTGTGCTAATTGGTTAATAAGTGATATAACGGTATCAAGATCAAATCCAAGGTATCTCAATATCTATAATAAACCATATTTTGATCACCTTATTATTCATCTTTACGATTAACAGTACGCACATTAGTTATTGTTTGCTACAACAATTGAAATAAACATTCCTATATTTCTTATAGTCTTTCGGGAAAAATTGGCCAAGATTCTAGATGCATGTATTGCCAGTCGTCCATGTCCTGAATCCTGTTGTCATAGTAACAAGGTAAACGCAAATTTTATAATTTATCTACCTACCTTACGTGTATCAGAATATATATATATATATATATATATATATATATATATATATCCTATGAACGTTTCATGGTATCAGCACATCAAAGTAATATGTAATTCAGTAAATCTCTACAATTAGGTCTTGATCTTTAGAAATAAATTGGATTTAATTTGCGTTTTCAGACTTATGTACACCGATATAACAGTAGAACTGTAAGGTCAATTTCATTTTTATTTACCAAAAAAAAATTGATTAGACGAAAACGTTAAACGTGTACAAATATTCAAAAAGTATTTTATATTTATTTCTGAGAATTTAGAAATAAAATAAAATACTGCAACTTAGGTTTATATTTTGTTTGTAAGTTTGTGTCTTTTTCCATCGTTGATGATAAGGCCTACAGTAGATTAGTCTTTTTTTTATATACATGAGTGGATAACCTCGATAGTCCCACTTAACCAAAAGCTTTTATTAAGTTTGGATAATAGCGAACATAGGTAGAAATTTAGAGTCGTTTTATTTAGCTGATAGTTACTTTGAGTGAGGAGCTCAGTGGATAATACTTTAAAGCCTATGATCTAGTAATTAGTATTGTCACACACCTACGCGATTTACTTTAAATTTTGGACGAGTAAATTGTTCTTATCTTCCCATTTATTCTATCACCTATATATTCGGTCTTTCCTATTACTCAGTGTAACATTGATCATGGTTTGTACTTGTGTATACCTTAGTACATTTGTATCTATCCCCTTCCTGTATGTGTTACATGACTTTTAAAAACTGAGTCACGTTATCAATATCTAAGTCAGTGTATTATTGAACCACAATGTTTTATTTAATCACTGCATCTTATATAAGCCTTTCTGTCGTGCAACATTAGCCTGGCTGAAATATGCATATCTATGATAATTAGGAGTAATTGAATTATAGTATGAACTAAGAATCCCAGGGATAACGCAATGGAATCAAGAAGTACTACACAAGCACTAACGAATGTACTGTATTTAGAATTCGAAATCAAACATTCAACAATTACAAAGGAGTCATTAGTTCATTCAAACACCACAATATCTTAAATGTAATTCGCATTTTGCATTCACTAAAATATCCTGTGTTCGAGTCCTACTGTGAATATCAACACTAGAATTTTGGTTCATCCAGCTGATAAGTTCCAAGTAAGATTGACTACACATTCTGAATTTCACATCCAGTTACTACCCAATTTTATGAAATTTATATAGTAAAGTTTATCTGATAAGAAAGTTTACTATTCAGTTATTGTGCATAGGTTCAAATTTAATATTTTATTCTCTTGATTACAAAAATCAAAAGAATATTATTTGTTGGCATATGTATTTCACTTAAATTTTGTACTCATGATTTCTAGTTGTTTGATGTTCTCTAAAGATGATAATCTCAATTTATGCTGAATTTGCACTGATTTATTTAGCATGTTTGTTTTTAGAAAAATGTCACTAATCCCATCACTTCTTACACACACGTGTGTATTCAAACTTTATTCCTTTATCTGATTACTTTTAGAATTCATTCTGGGTATGCTGGTGTAATGTAGCCTTCAGTTGTTTGGCTATATTTCATTTGGCTTATTTAGCTGTAATGTTTGATACGAGTGAACAGCAATTTAAGGTATGATATCAAGCTATACTTGTAAATCAATTATATATATATATATATATATATATATATATATATATATATATATATATATATATATATATCAGAGTTCGTTTATGAAATCTTTATTTTAGACTAATGATTATTGTGGGAAGTTTATTCCTTTTTATACTTCAACTATACTCTCCACCAACCCTGCTGCTTTACAATTCATTATAAATCTTTAATGTAAACACTAAGAAACTTTCCAACTCGACGATCTTCATGTTTACTGGATTTACTGGTCTTAATTTTGTATTTCTTTGCAATAATTAACCTATTATTATCTGTAACTTTAATCAAACTCATATAATCCCTGATAATGTAACATACACTAATCAGCACGGTAGTTGGTTATTTGTGATGTTTATAACTATGCTTTCGAATTTTCCATTGGTTGGTTTTTCATGAATTTAACTGGGATAGAGAAAAGTGTTACATATTCAGCAGTGAAATGAAATATCTGGAGTTACCCTCGTGAGATTGTGTTTGTTGCTTACCAGTCAGATTCATTGATATTTTTCCAGAAGAAATAAAAAAGTAGGATACGATTTTACCAAACTACCGTTGGACAGTGGTTATTTAGTTGTAGTTTGAAGAATAGGAGAACTCTTGTGATAGTTATATTAGAAATTAAAGTGACTTAATTTGTTTTTAAAGTATTTGAGCCGGTAAATTGTTTGAAATTTCACTGGTCTTCAGTAGCAACAAACCTTAAGGAAACTGATAAATCGTTTATCATGTTATACACAGTTCATATCGCTTACTATTGTGTTGTGGTTTTTATTAGAAAATCTAACATAATTATGGTAAAATCTTTCTGTTTTTAAGTGGGATAGTGTTATTCTACATAACTAGCGATTTAAATCAATAAAAATGAGTGAAACAATATTTATTTTTCTGAAGACGTCTTCAAAGATCCTGGTAACTATTTAAACGAGTTTTCAACCATACATTTCTCTATATGAACACAACACGTCCAGCCTTAATACAACTCAAGTTTGAAAGGTGTGAGATTATAGGCCCCGTTGATTTTATTTATTAAAACAATTGTAATATTCCCTTGAAATCATCAAAATGGTTGATGTTAGATCAGCATTTAAACCTGAAATAAATCGACGGTCGATTTGTCCGAGTATGGACTCATCAATAGGGCACATCCACCATCCTGCACGCTGGACTCGAACTCAGGACCTTCGGTCTCACGCGCGAACACTTAACCCTTAGGTCACTGAACTGGCATCCAACGATGTTAATGCCTAACTGCAATCAATCCACGATATTGCGTAGCCAGCTCACATTCATCCAGTTCTTCTAGGTTTTCGATGGTGGTTTAACATTGACTGGTTCATAATCTTAATGAAAGTCAACGATCTTCACAACCGTGTACAAATACTTGTAATATTCTTGATCTGTTGGAAACCGGTGACTTCTGAATATAATTACACGTAGTCTATATAGAGCATGACATAAATATGCACCGGCTCAAGTGGCCACATCACGATGAAGTGAAAGTAACAAGACAAATGGCAATAGACTTAAAATAATAGTTACGAGGGCCGATCACCACTTGTAATTTTAATAGCAAGAATATCTCATCTAATTTAGGCTAAAATTATCATATTTCCATGTAAAATTCTTATTGATTTATCTAGTTTTATATATTGTTTCCGAATTATGGTTTATTTAAATATCTTCTACTGAACTATAATTCACAGTACTTATTAATTTCTCATGACTATTTCTTTCTTTCAATAGGGCTATAATATGTGGCATACTATGGATAAATGGTACAATTTAGGATTTCTCAGTCATATTGTAGCCTTTGCAAATTTCTTATTTTATTTATATTTATAAATAAATATTGAATCAGCTATGTATTTGTTTGTAGGGAATAAAACAATTTATCCATCACAACTAAACGAATGCAAAATGCATTTTCTTAAAGCTCACTCAGCATGTATTTCTAATAATAATGAAGTGAAAGTTTATTTTGCTTTCAAGTATAAACAACAAAGAAAGGTATAATAATACTGTTGATGAGTTTTGTACATGTACATGATCTTTCATGAAGTTAGGTTTTTTAAATCACATAAATTTTTTTCTCTCTAACATTCGTTTAATTGGAGAATTGTTATTTAAATTATGTTCTCAAACCATGACTACTGTTTGCCTTGGTTTTATTTTTGCTGAGAAATGTTTTATCAGCTAATCAAAATGGAGTCATGTTCATGGGAATCGAATAATATCTTCTAATGTAACAATTATCGATTCAGGAAACTACTTTTGGAAAAAGAAGCTCTGAATAACCTTCCTAAAATAAGCTTGGAAGTTCATGCATTATTGTATTACCTCAAAAGAATCCCATTCAAAATATCCAAAAAATATCTTTACCACTTATTAGTTTTAGTATGTAGAGGGCTTAAACATCTACCGCCTGCTGGATCTTAAAAGTCTACTAATCTTCGCCGTAGAGGCTTTATCTTCAAACTTAATTTGCATACATAATGTAGGGGTATATATAAGGTTAAATGTGATTTTGAGACTCTAGGAACCTCTAATAACTAATAGTGAACTCAACAACTGACCAATTAGGTTAATAAAAACAGGATAAGTTGTTTACTAGATTTCTCTTAAAAGTTTTTAAAGACCACTCCTTATTCATAGTATTTTTATCACTTGCCTGACTACTACAGACAGTTTCGAGGAATTATCAAGGTCTCCTAACACGTTTACCAGATTTTTCAGTTAAGATTATCATTATCTATTAGTAATATAAATCCTTTTTTGTCCACTTCAATCTGGAAAGTTCTCTAGCTACAGTAGCTTTTACACATTAGTTCAATCGAAGGGATTTATATTTGGCTATCTGGTACATTTACGAAGAGAATAACTAGATATTTAAAATCACAAAAAAAAAACTTACTATTTGTTAACATTGGATAACAAGGTAGTACTTCTATTTTGTAATGATTTGAAACGTCATAGATTACTCGAAGTCATTAACTCAATGTTCTCTAGAAACATCGAACATCCTATACCATTCCATAATGGTTTTATACATTCGTATGTCAATTTGATTAAATAATTCGACGTAATTTCAAATTATTTATCTTTCGCTTTACAAAACTTACGCTTTGAACATGGTGGTATCAAGTAAAAAAAAAGGCACCACAATTGTAGGGAAATATAAAATTTTCTTAAAGACGTTACACTTATATGTTCTCCATTTTAGTTCATATTATACGATATTTTTATCTTTGATATAAAAAGATTTCATTCCGTAGTAGTTTTGAAAGTGGTCTCTCAGCTACACTGAATCCGTGGTAATTATTAATTTGATATAAATAAAATTTTAAAGGCTTTCTACCGTTTTCATTTATTTTTCTTTGTCTCACCACTAAATGGCACTAGTGTAAAATGTTCTTCGGGGATTTACTTTCAATCAAGTCGTATTTTAATTAACATTTTGATCTTATCTAACAGATATTAAACTAACAAAATATCCAGACATTTTATTATTTGAGAGTTTACTTTTTGCAAGTTGATCATTCATACGCAGAAATTACATGTCAAGATTATGTAAGGAGTCAGTCAGGCACAACATAGAACCTTTACGTATGTACATCAATTCAAGTTCCTATACCCCACTTGCACAGAGATGAAATTGTCAGGCCGAATTCGAAAATAGTAGGGGTAATATCAGTATCATTGGCAAACTAAATTCGGAAAATCCATTTAACCTAGAGAAAGCTATTCACTATTAGTTAATTAGTCAAAATCATTTCTTTGATTGTAAAGGTAAAACTCACACTAACTAGTAATTCCATTTAGTGATAAAACTATTTTAAGCTCTCTCATATATACGCAAAGATACGCTAAATGCTCACTCGTTAAGATGTAATTACGTCGAAAACATATCACTAAAGATTAGTTCTTTTTTCGTTCGTTGACAAGTTTTTCTAAATAATTCAGGGTACTTACATTACACTGGGTAGTATACAATGCTGTATCGCAAGTTAAAGTTGAGGTAAATTTCAATATGATCATCAAATCACTATCTCCTAAAATGCCATTTAAGCAACCAAGTCATTAGTGTGCAGTTAAACAACGTACAATCAAATGATGTTTAAAAAACTACCTACAACTCCATTGTGATTCCGAACAGGAATATTTCCAAACTTGTACCAATGGATTTCCGAAACTATTATAGGTTGATTTTCTTATTGAATAACTGATGGAAAATTTTGACAAACTTACAAAATACATGATATTTTAACAGCCAATTCTTCATATCATAATATTGATTCAAGCGTAAAACAGATACTATTCTTAATAGCATCAAATTCAGTTTCTTTAAACATCTATGTTCAGATGATTTCGCCAAACAGTTTTACACATCAAAATGGTCCACGCAAAATATAAATAGAAAACTTGAGTAAACCGGTTTACGATCTGAAAGCTTAGAGTGCTATAACGTTCATTGATTGAGTTAATAACTCATCAAAAATTTTGTTTGCTTTTTTTAGTATGTTTAGATACATCAAAATTTTCGTAATACATACTAATAAAGTAATTCACATTTGTTAATAGAAACAATTGACTGTCAAATTCGTACTTCATAAGAGTTTGTTAATGCCTGGCTTCTAAAAGAAAAAAAGTGTTATCAGTGAGATTTCATTAGCCGTAATGTTTCTTTTTTGTGTATAAACTTGCTCTAGCTTAGATCAACTGTAAAAAGTCTACGATCTCCACGAATTCCGATACTAATAATAATCATATGCTCACTTGTGACTAACTTTAGGACGAAACTTCTGGAGTTCTAGTGAGAAGCCGTGACAACTTCAATCCGTGTTGGGTGTGAAACAGTTATTCACCTCAGACAATAGATAAGTAGTTGCGCAAGATCATGGGCCGATTGAAGTGTGACATGAACATCGTTGGTTGCCGGCTCAGTGATCTGAGAGTTGAGCGTTCGCGCGTGAGACCGAAGGTCTTGGATTCGAGTTCCGCATGCAGGATCGTGGATGTGAACTTCTGAGGAGTCCTACACTAGAGCTAAACGTCCGTCTAGTGGTGGCCTACTTTTGATTGACTTGTAAATTAAACTAAAACTACCACAAGTCCCCATACTGGTATAAATATTTGTTCATTACAATACCCATAAGTGAAGTGAGAATCCTATTCACAGCCTTTAGGACATTATACAACAAAGTATGGCCTTTTCTAAGTAGTCTATTTTAAAGGCAATAAGATGAGGGAAATACAGAATAACATATCCAATCCGATGTAATACAAGTTTAATCATTGTAAACTATTTTACCTGCAATTTTCGGATATGACGTCAGTTAGTCTAGAGTCATATCCAGTCTCCTTGGGCAAGAGTCAAGGCCAATACACATTGGCAGATCGGTTGAGTTGTGAGCAACTAAACGAACTATGAAAAATATGTCGAGCCAATATATCTCCTCTCACTGTCAGATCCCAACACTTCACTACCAAGTCTGTGGTCTGACTGAGACCGTAGCCGGGTAAACTCTTCATTCAACCTCTCGGTTGACTTGGACGGGTAAAGACAGACTTTAATTGACTCCCTTAGCTAGAAATTTTGGATCGCCTACTTCATGAATCCACTTCAGAAATGGGCCCGTATTTCATAGATAATCAGGAACCTTTCCCAATAAAGTTCTCCAACTTCACCCTTCGAGTAACCAAATGAACCCTAGGCGAAGCAAAAAATCTGTCCCAGATAGGTATGTCTCTACCTGCAAGTTTAGACTCAGCCAGCCCTCAGGAACAACGAGGTTCCGAACAACCCCAGCAAGGGGACTGGGTACACTGAAACCCCCCTCCGAATGACGGCCAGAGCTATTCCCATATAAACAGAACAAGAGAAGATAATATCTCTACTCATTCCAGCCAATGGCGAAACCCTGAGGTGCACCATCATCTGCGCTACTGGAGAACCCCACCAGCAATATATGGCACTTCGTCGAAACTTAACCGCAGCGCCACGTTGCTGGCAGAAACCACGAAGAGGCAGCCGCCAAGCAACCGTAACACCCAAAAGGCTCACAAGGAACCTTAAGAGAATCATAGTTACTAAATGTCTTTTATTTCTATTTTCGAGTTATTGTAAACTCTCCACAACCTTTATAATTATCACACATTGTATATTGGCTGTTTTTAGACTTCCCTTAATTACTGCTTCACAATCTTTCCCTATGTTTTTGAACTCCATTTCTAAATGGCCTCACACCTGTTCTTACACATATAAATCCATAAATAGTCGTTATTAGTAATGCTTGTTATCCCGATTCCCTCCGTTATCAATGTCAATTTCACATTAAATCATACCGTGGTGATTCATTTTAATACATATATGGTTGTAAGCATCTGACGAAAAGCTATGAAATACAGTGAATTCATACCATTCTTCTTCAGTTATTGTTTTGGCTTTATTCGAAAAAATAAGAAATTATAGAATTACCTTCCAAGTTTTGAATTAATAATTGGTAAATTTGTGACACTTCTCCAGGTACTTGAAGTTGATAACGATGAGGAGACTTTATTGTCTGATTTATTTCGAACCATACCTAAACGTATTGCTTTTCTATAGGAAGGATTCTGTTGTTTTTTCGTTGTTTTGAATGAATCTGAAGATATATTTGGTAGACTCTTTTTAATAATCACATTAGTTGAACCCCGTAACTAAATATTATTCAAAAATAAACGGATATAGAGAGATTTATTTATGTAAAATTTAGGGATTAGAAGAGGCACATTTTGTTCCGCTCTCATTCCGTCATAACAGAAACATTTTCCTGAACACGTGAAACACAGTCATTCAAATTCGACCTCTCTAATGAGAACCAGATATTAAACCAACAAGAACTTATCAACACATAATATAGAGTAAAATCATCAGAGAAAATTTAACGGCTTGAAACATCCTCGTATATTCAGTATAGCTACGTACATCCACTTTTAACATTGATCATTCACATGTCACCTTGATCAGACATACCACCGTATGATTGGAGTATCTTAAACCGAATGAAAATGTCCTATCCAGCTTATCGATTTATTATTGTATGGGGATTGTTGAATTTTACTGTTTGCATCACGGACTAGATTTAATCAGGTGGTAGTAGCCTACCGGTGACGGTGGAAGATGGTTTTGTAGTTTTGTGAAATGGATGAAGTTGGATGTTTTCACTCTCAGATGTTGATACAGTGGTCCAAAGGTAAAACGTCCATTGCGAAACTTGGAGGTTCCTAGTTAGATCCCCAGCGGGATCACGAATACACTCCACTATAGAGTTCCATATTAGAGTGAACTAGATGTCCGACGCCTCCAGCTCTTTAGTTATTATATAACCAATAGAAACCCACCAGTTAGCAATATAATCCGAACATAATTTTCATTATGATATCGAATTGTCTGGTGAAGGATTAGAGTAGTCAAGGAACACTTAGCAAGTATTTTGTTCAACTTTATGATATATCACGCCCAGATAGCTCATGATATCTGAGAAAACTCGGGAGTTTGAGATTTTACTGCTGCCTCGGGGACTCTAAATAAATTAGTCACAACGTTTCAGATCAGTAAAGAACAAATACATTAAAAGTTACTATATTTGCGATGACCTTAGAAACTGAGTGAATGTTTGAAATTAGTGCAACGACGAATAGTTAACAGAAACTTGGCCTAAAATTCATGCATTTTCTGTTATTTATTTTCAAGAAGTGTGTAGAATGGTGATGAATATCTGCAATACAGATACATATTCTTTTTAAAAATTTCTCCCCAGGTTCTACAGTTGTGTGCTGAACTTGGTAATCAAAAGGAATTGTCTACTCTGAGAGAATTATTTTACTAATCGCAGAATATAACTCCATGACTACCGTT